AAATTCTGTGAATAACAAAATACCATCATATTCAGGACGATAACAGAGAATTAACATTATTTTACTATGATTAGAAGAGTAAGTGAAAAAACCATTACTTCATGGTTTTTGTGTTCTAAATTATTGATACGTAAGATACTAACATCGCCTCTAGCGTACAACACACAACCACCTGCACCTCCCACATTTCTATCTAGTCGAAAGGGAGTTTGATATCCAAAAATTTTAATCTGGTTATCAAATGTTGCCAACGATAACCATGTCTCAACTACTCCAAAAATTAGCGGTTTTTCTTCATTTAGAAAATCCGTCAGAGCTTCAAATTTAATATAGGGAGAAGAGTGCGATTTACTTTGACATTTAGTAACCGGTGCTAGTATACTTCTCGCATTAGCAAACATAATCTCATTGGAATAGTCAGTATCATGTGCCATAAGTTACTATAAGGCTTACGGTAACATCCTTAGGAAAACAAAGAAGTGACCTAACAAAGTAACCCTTTTTTCGATAAGTTGTGGATGATTCAGTTCATACAAGGCATACAAAGCTAACACACGCAAAAACATGATCTATGAAAATTTTCTCAAAGAGGTGGCGAGAGCTTGGATCAGCGATAATGAACGAGACGAAAATTTATATAGAGACGAGAACGCTTTAATACAAGTTACAAACGGGCCCCAAATAAAGATCCACCGGCAAGATTATCTGAAAATATTAAAGACCAGTGCATCCAAGTTATTGTAGGAGCCGGGAAAACGAAGTATCCTGAAAGACAATGTAAGGTTTGTACCACAAATAAGACGCGAAGCGAAACCAAACATATATGTGGACTCTGTGCCTTGCCTCTTCATAAAGGCGAATGTTTCCAGCGATTGCACACTATGAACGAATATTAAATTCAATCTGTAACAATTCCCGAAAACTACAATGTAATTAAACAAGTACAAAGGAAGTTATAATTTTTTATTATTATCCCATTTTAGTGCAAAATTAGCCTAGAATTCATGCTTGCTTCGTACAAAATATATAGCTGCATCCGTTAAGTGTTAATGATCACTGGTCAATAGAAAAAGTGAAATCCGATTTTTTTTCTAAACGTCCACGGATGTTTTACTTATTATCTGAAAAAAATATATAGATAAGAGATTTCTTACTGTATTTTACCTGTAATAATGCAAGTTTAAACTCAACAACAAAATTTTGCATAGACAATGAGCGTTACAGTCTGAGTACTTTTCAGATCGACATATCATAAAGTTGACCAATATCATATCTTTCAATTGAGCTAGAGAAGATGCGAAACTATCCACATATTTTTGTTTTGCAGTCTAGATAAGAAACGCGGAAAAGTCAAAAAACTTCGATTATTTTTCAGATGAAACTTTCTCTTTCACAGTACAGAGATCGTTGAAGTTTGCACTTTGACTTGAGTCAAGCTGTTCCCGTTCGGAAACCTCATTGTGCTGCATGCACATTGCACAAAAGAGAAAGCTGAGAACTGAATTCGAACTCCTGTACTGTTTGCTCACACTGATAGAATATCGCTTGATACCGCCGGTACAACCGACCGATATACTACGCGATTTGGTAGATCGTGCGGTAATTTCACATACCCATTAGGTTAACCTCTCATTATACTCAGCGGTGACAGCTGCGGTAACCAGTGGTAGTTTAGCCGTTCTGATGACATGGGTAGCCTATTTGATGGATTATTTATCATAGAATTATCATTGAAATTCTATATTTGGGTAAATCTATCTTTGCTCATTACTTTTGCGAAAATCGGTGTTTCACTAAAAGGATCCGTTGAATAATAATCTTTGATGAAACCACGTCTTGTTTGGCCCATTTAAATAATTAGACTCAAAAATTTCTTCATCTGATTGAAAGTAATATGGATAAAAATACTGATTTAGACGCAGTTTTACGCATTGTTGTGATTTGTTCATAATAAAGGGTTGACTGGTCACACATATATTGAATCAAGTCGTCACCCAGAAATAGTATCTTTTACAATCTATAAATACAAAAAAAGGGAAAGATAAAGACACTGAAATTAAGCTCAAAATTAAACAAAATCGCCGATTTTAAGTATATGAGAACCTGGAGTTGAGAGTTGGACCGCTTTAACGTTGAGCTTCATACATGCTCAGATTAAGAGTAAGGAGCCCTTCTTCGCCCGTAAGTAGCATTCATCTGCGATTCATGGTTCCTTAGCTAAGAATCCTTTCTATACCTTACACAACGATTGATGCAGCAAACGACAATCACATGAATTAAAGGAGATTCGAACAATTTTATTCTCTTCTTTAATATCACCAAATCTCGCGCCTCCCTTTGATTGTCGTCCGGAACACTTAAACAATGCGAATTGTCCTCTTCGATGGACTGATACCGCGTGTACTTACACTCTTAAAATCGCTGGTTTATTGTATTAAAAGCTGCATCTCCATTTTATCACAGGAGAGTGCAATTAAGTTCATGCTAATGTTTATCTGCTATAACTATCTTTTGTTGCCTTACTTGATCAAGTTTATTATTCGTTATATTTGAATAGTCTTTATATCTCTTGTATCTTCAACGAATCTGTATTCTGATGAGTTGACAATGGGCTTGCTTTATATAAATGCGAACCTTTAATATACTGAACACCACAAGCTGACTTTCTAGCGCCGCCATTGGTTAATATTTTTGTTACAAGTGTATTTGGCCAAATATATAGATTAGAACTGTGTGATCTTTGAACTGTTTTGAGACGAACATATGTATGCTATCTTGCGTATCATTCTTCTTTTCTGTTGTTCTTTGTGCATTTATCACCTTGAGTTTTAAAGATACCAGCTATTCCGTGCTATACATATGAGGATGTGATGCTTTGTTGAGACTAGTGTTTTCTCTTTTTTTTCTTTCTATCGCTAAACAAAAAAGCGATCGTACGTATCTGACTATAAAAGCAAAGTGCATTTTTATAGACTTACCAGTTTTGTTTATCTCCAGTTGTTCAGAAATAACCTTGGATAAAGTTACAGTGGCGAAACAATTATAATTTAATAATTAAAGTTTAACATTAACGCCGATCCATCACCCAAGCAGGTTTATGAAACGTTTGTACTTGTAGAAAAGGTCATTCACTTTTCCATCATACGACATTTTATTTCGCATTCCATGCAAATTTCTTGTCCTGCAAATCTTGATCTTCTACACTGTCATTGATCTTATCTCCATACTGTTTTTAGGGATATTTTAATCAATGGGAAAAATTTTTCTTTTAATTTGTATAATTTGCCAGCTTGGTTCGATTGCTGATACGATAAATTGCGCAAAAAAAAGGAAAGATGCAGTATACGACTTTATCGTTGTTGGTTCTGGAGCTGGTGGTGGTACAGTTGCTAGCCGACTTGCTTTAAACGGTTTCAAAGTGCTTGTAATAGAAGCTGGACCAGATTACAACACAAGAAATTCTACAATTCCTAATTTTGCAGCATTCGCTCAAGATGATGCCGTAATTCGATGGGACTATCACCCATATACCTTTAATAAATCCATAAATCAAACAATACTTTATCCCAGGGCAAGTGCCGTAGGCGGATGTACAAGACATACAGAATTAGTCACATTTGCAGCAAATCCTTCTGACTGGGATAATATTGCGAATGTTACCGGTGATACCTCGTGGAATCATGTAAATATGCAACAATACTGGGAGTTAGTTGAAAAATGTCAATATTGTAAAACAACGCCGCTTAAAGGTGGCTGGCTCAATGTGGCACAGCCTATGAGAAATGTACCTAGATTAATGACAAATCCCATAATAGCTAGTCTTTTTGATACAATGAATAATAACTTCGCTTTCGCTGATGATATTAATACTCACTTGGATCAGGATGGTTGGTGTTACTTACCCGAGTCCTCACTAAACGGCACAAGACAGGATACATATGTTCGTCTCAAAACAGTTCAAAGATCACACAGTTCTAATCTATATATTTGGCCAAATACACTTGTAACAAAAATATTAACCAATGGCGGCGCTAGAAAGTCAGCTTGTGGTGTTCAGTATATTAAAGGTTCGCATTTATATAAAGCAAGCCCATTGTCAACTCATCAGAATACAGATTCGTTGAAGATACAAGAGATATATGCAAAAAAGGAGATTATTGTATCTGGTGGGCAGTTCAGTACTCCACAATTATTGCAGCTTAGTGGAATTGGAGACAAAGAGAAATTGAAAAAATTTAAAATAAAAATGGTTCATCACTTGCCAGGTGTTGGTCTAAATTTGCAAGATCGACAAGAAGTTCCGTACGTTCTAAAAATGTCAGGTGACACTCGAATTAACAAAGACTGCACATTAGGATTGACACCAACTGATCCATGTTTAACCCACTATAATACAACTCGGAAAAGTCTTTATGCATCAAATGGACTTCTACTGGGTTTCTTGCATTCTACATTGCCTAAACAAGCGGTTCCCGAGGTACAGTGCAAAAAGAACGCCCGTACAGATTTGCAAAGTTGTACTCCTGTGCTCCATCTCCCATCTCGTCTAGAGTATGTGATTCATTTGCGTCGCTGATATTTGAAAGACGCAGACTATGTGAAACTTTTTGTATATAAATAGAAGCTTTTCACCAAAAGTAGCGACAAGGACGCTTATATTAATTTTCTTATTGTCAACAAGCTGTATCGTATAGGAAACAAAGCTATTTATAGAGAGCAAATTTCCGAAAAATAAGTCGAATAAAATGGGTCCAAAAAGCAAAGAATATGGACAAGATCCATAATCAAAACACAGATCATATATTTGACAATACTGACGCAAAAGAAGTGGCAAAAATAGAGTTTGGATTTCACTAAGGAATTTTTAAAACTGGAAACATTTTCGTCAGAAAATGCCTCCAATTTGTTGAAATGGATCCAATAAATAATGATACAACTATATCCACAGGAAATGTTTATTCTCTTTCACAATCTAAGTGCTTTCTATTTTTCAGCTGTCTTTTCGACTGAGAGGGAAAGAATGTAAACAAAACGTTTAAAAGTCGTTGCATCGAGCGCTCCCTTCTCAGATTTACCTCGTAGAATACACCTCACCCTCGCCGAACATACTTTATTTTTTACGGTATGACTCTCATGTATGCAGTTTTATCTGCTTTTTCAGAATATAGGTTTGTTAGGAAAGATTAAACTTGTCCATGAGCTCGAAAAATTAAAATTAGTAAATTTACTGATCGATTATTTAATCAATCAACTGCTCGTAAACGCGGATTCCGGCCTTGCCTATAGCAATGAGGTGGAGAAAATCTCAGTGTCCTGACGATAACGTCTTTGTACTTGATGTCAGAGACCCAATCTTTCCCGTTCTCACATGATAGCTTAATATCGAAAGGTTTCAGCCTAAGAGAGATATGTGGTCCATGGATGCATCAAATTTTCGTTTGGATTGAAGCCTTTGCTGAAAAGCACTTTTACTACGTTGCCCAACGTTTTAGTAAAGTATATGTAAGGGGTATGTTGTAGTGAACTTTAAAGAAAATTGACTAGAAAAGTCGAGTCTCTGTTAGCCTGCCAGATTTTATTCGGAAGAATAAAATCGCTAAACCTCACACCCCAAAATCTGAATAGATGTAACTGTCGAAAAACAAATACTATATGATGGCCGAAAAATAGGAGAAAACGGCCTTTCTTAAAGACTCTTTGTCGCTTGGACTTCATCTGAAAAAATCATTGTTTGTCATTAAAAGAACGTTAAGGCAATCAAGAATGAGAAGTGAATAACGACATGAAGGAATGTCAGTGGATGAGGCATGGGCACGCTTATGTCAGTGACGAAGAGACGAATGACATAGCAGTCTTTCAAAATAGGAAAAGGTTGTAGTCAGAATACTCAGAGAATCACTTTTCTGCTAGCTTTACAAAATGGCTCTAGCATTATTTTCTAGTATTCATAAATGTTTGAGATTTCTTATACCTAAGCGACGATCTGCTGCCACAGAAGTGTGTACAGATTCAAAAGATACATCGACCTTTTCCGATTTCCTATAAAAGAGCAATCACTTCTCAGTCGATCAGAGTTTTCCGATTGAAAATCTAATGTATCATTATGGAGTTGTAAAAGTTTTAAAAGTAGCACCTAAGCCACAAATGTGGACGGTGCAACTTGCTCCGGTACCAATAAAATCGAAGTGCTTCCACGTAGAGAAGCAATACAGAAGTGGACGTTGCGTTAACATTCCACTCAGTGAATTGGCTACAGGTAGACCCAATTACCTGTTCCACTGCATGTGTAATTATTTATTAATGTAGTGTCAACAAAACAAGAAAGCAATAAATCAGCTGGTTCTGTTCTATTGTACTGTATCACTGATTTCTATTTGTATGTTCACTAAACTGGCCATATGTTCTTCATCATCCTCGCTTTTATCGAAAATTTTCTTGAGGTAACTGATGTCATCGTAAAATAAGAACTATTTTTCGAAGAAGATCATCAGGAAATCATACACATTTTTTTCTACAGGAGCCGGGGTAAGAAAATCTTTGTCCTACTCATCTTTACTATATCGATCCTAGTCATGGCACACCCAAATACAGCATTATCAAGAGCATAGAAGATAGTGAAGCTGGAATTTGGCCACAAACATAATAATGATTGTGATTATTATAAAAAAGCAGTCGCTCTGAATTGTACTCGGTAGACATCCTGTGTTTCATGGACGCTCCTTTTGAATTTTTCAAGATAACGTTTTCTTTTTTGTCCTCGGTCGATTTAACGGCTATCGCGATGATTGGTTTTCGTATTATGCAGCAGCGCCACCGGTTTACATTAGTGCGAACATGATTAAAGTTCATAGTCCGAATACTCTTGGAACAGTTGATATTCAGTCAGCTAATCCATTAGATATGCCACTTATTCAAATGCATCGTTTTGCCGACGGCTCGGATGAACTTGACAGGGTAGTGCAAAACGTAAGATTTATACGTAAGCTTCTTCTTAAAAGCGGAACAAAATTCGCCAATTATGTCGTGAGTGAAGACTTGCCCGGAGCAAATGTTACAACAGATGCTGATATTAAAAAATTTATTAAACAGTATGTTTGGGGTCATCATGTTTGCTGTACATCACAAATGGGTAAAGCGAACAATAAAAAAGCTGTAACAAACTCCAAAGGTCAAGTATTTGGTGTTTCCCATCTTCGGATATGTGATATATCAATATTTCCAAAAGATCCGGGATATTTTCCATTCTTGCCTATTTATATTGCCTCTGAAAAAATTGCGGCTGAAATAACAAAGAAATGGAAAAAGTAAATAAATGATACACATTAAACGTACACTTAGAATGCTTCATTTTCTTTTACTTGTTGGCTCTTTTTATAAATCCTTAATTTGAAATAAAGCGTTAGTTGTTCTACATGTGCTCTTATGACACAAATTAATTGCACTCAATAAGCTTGGTGCTAAGAAGAAAGATTCTACAGTTTTTGCTAAAAATGCTATTTATGGTATACCAGACAAATGTGGATGCATCTATGTCGGAGAAACGGAAGATTTTGAAAGACGCCACAAACAACATATGAGTAATGTCAAATATCATCGTGTTAATGAGTCAGAAATAGTTCAACATTTGTTAGTTAGTAAT